AGTTTTTTTTTCTAAAATGTAAACGAATTTGGAAGGGAGACTGCTGGGTTGCATTTGAGCAGCGGGGGAGTTATGAAGTCAAGTAGCTAATTATTTGATTGAAAATATGAATTTAATATTTCAAAACTTAATCAATAAATTTTTAGAAAAATTTTGTCGACCTGGCTCCTGCTATTTTCTCTTCAAGTAAATTTAGAATTGCAAATTTTTGAAAATCAGGAGATTTATGACTTCAATCGAAAGTCAGCTGATACCACCTACCAGAGAAAATTCTTTGTTGCCTTCGCCCCCTCCCCTTCCAAGACCGTTATTAAATTCAAAAAAATTTTATAATCTTGCTGTAGAATTTTTGCAACTTTATAAACTACTTGTTTTCGCGGCATATGATTGGGGTCAAATTATTTCACCGTAAAAAAACAGCGCTGGAGAATTTCGAGTAACTCAGCCCAGTGCCACGCCTCTTTTTAAGTGCAATTTTTTAAATTTTTTTCTGTTTAGTGTGATCTCTGGCCGAAGCGATATGCTGAGCGCAGTAGCGGCAGGACATTCCATACCTCAGTTGGCTCTGACAGAGTCAGCAACACCTCAGTCTATGGTTTTCCCGTTGAATATTGAAGATGTAGACGGAGAAGACGCTGTCTTTACCAAAAAGGTACGGTCATCACCCTTCCTTGTTTTTTACCTTTTACGTATTTATTTTAGCCACGAATAAGTCGTCGAGCTCCACCATCTTTGTGTTTATTTTATTCGACACCAATTGTAAAATACTGGCTTTCTTTGATCTTTCGACTACTGCACATAGCTTTATTAGCGTATTCAGTAAGTCAAAAGTTCTCAGAGATTTCATGCAAGTCCTTTTCCCTATGTTCAGGTTTTATTGCCCGGATGTGGAAATCTAACCCTCGATGCTATTGTATGGATGTGGACATTTATAGCGTGGATTGAAGCCGTTTGGGTGCTGAACATGCGGAATCATTATACGCCACTTTCATTGATGCCATGGAGGGTAAGCATAGTAAACTTTGGGAATTTTACAGTAATTATGCTACGGTAGGCGCACTTTGAATGCCAAATTTCCACTTGTATTAATTTGGAGGTAAATGCTGAATTGTCATATTCCAATGGTAGACACGTACCCTTTGATTCAATGCGATAGGAAAGGGCGACCGCTCGCCGCGCCGCATCTGCGTCTCTCCCACGCGCGTGCTCTCTGATCACTCTCTAGCCTTGACTAGGACACGAAACCCCGCCTCCCAGCCGCCTATCTGGTTGAATCAAAGGATACAAACGCGCACGTTGATCAACATGTCAAGTAAGCGGCAAATGCAGCGCGGCCGCTCACATCCCATAGAACAAAGCGATTGATGCGCTATATAAGTTGCGCGTGCGCTCTTGAAGAGAGCATGAATGCCTTTTATACCTCGATGGAATGTTTTTGATTTGTTCATATGTATTGAAAACTACGACAGATTTTTTGGTATATTTATCGCACTAAATATTCAATGGATTCAAGCTAGAAACGATAAATTTACAGCCTGTTCTTATGTTCAGATTTGTTTTAGAACAAATCTCAGGAAAATTGTGTTTGATTCCTACTTCTGATAGATGAGGACTGAATTTTGAGACCTTGTTGTCAGCCAAATTTGGAACGCACCTGTTTTCTTCAGTCTTTTTTTCGCCGCTAAAATTCTACTAATGTAAATATTTTTCAGGTTTTCGATTGTGTTGTGACACTGATCTTTCTTGTTGCTATGTTGCTTTTCAAATTCGTCGGTGATAGCCCCATTTCGGATTTTTTCGTGAGTTCAATAACTTAAATGATTAAATTTTACGTAAATTCAAATTTTTTTAGATGCTCTCAAACGTCTACCCCATTCGAGTATTCTCTGCGTTCTTTCTTCTTTATTGGTGCTATGCGACAATATTCTTCTACATTCCATTGTCAGAATTATTTGGTCCAATTGTCGTCAGGGTCAAACTGATGATACTCAGAGATTTTACAAATTTTCTTATTTTAGTCGCTTTGGTAATGTCAAGGTAGGTTAGAGTCTACTCCTGGACGAGGGCGAA